TACTTCTACTTCTACTACTACTACGACTACTACGACTACTACGACTACTACGACTACTACGACTACTGCTACTACTACTGTTTTTATTACTACTGCTACTACTAGCACTACTACTACGCCTACGACTACTAGTACTGTTCATAATAATAAGTTGGTTTCTTCGTCGTCTACGACTACTACTGCTACTACTACTACTACTACTACCACTCATACTACTACTACTACTACTACTACTACTACTACTACTACTACTACTACTACTACGACGACTACCCCTATTACAACGACTACTACTACTACTACTACTACTACGACTACTACTACTACTACTACTACTACTACTACGACTACTACTACTACTATTACTACTACTACTACTACTACTACTACTACTACTACTGCTACTGCTACTGCTACTACGACTACTACTACCCGTAGCCAGGTTGGCTCAAGATATTCTGACCCCCTGGGGGACGGTACCGCTAGTCCGTGGCCAGCGTCCTCCCAGTCACATCCATCTCGTGGACTGCCTTCCTATCTGACGATTGCCTGCTGGTGTGGTGTCCTTTCGTGTCCCGCTCGCCCCTGGCAGCACGACATTCCATATCGCGGCCGCAGCTCGCAGCAGGCTCCTTCACGTTCCTGGCACTCCTCGTGGGACAGGTGGAAAGGTAGGTCAGTCAAAATCTCTGCGCAGACAAGAAATTGCTGGAGCTGCTGAAGAGCGTTGAACGGGCAAGGCCAATCGCCCCCCGCGCGGACATGACCCGCTCCAAGGAGCAGCTGACCCCTGGCGAGCAGCAGACGCAGAACACAGCCCTACCACAGCCATGGGAAACTCTGCCAGCAAGGCGGCTCGCGGCGCATCCTCACTGGGTACAGCAAACGCTACCGATTCGGAACGTCACGGCGATGCGGGCTTCCTCGCGCGCATCCAAGGCGAGCTTCAGGCAATGGTCACGGCTCAGCTAGACGCGTCCTCCGAGAAGCACAAAGCAATCCTGGTCACAGCAGTTACGGAAGTTGGCACCAGAAGCATGGCGGAGCATGCCTCCGCAAGTATGAGAAATGTCACACAGATCGAAGGAGAGCTCGGCGACATGCGCTCCTCCCTCGCCAACCAGCGGAAGCAGACCGACGACCTCTGGCGCATTGTCGAAGACCGTCAGAAAGGGTTCGCAGCCGTTGAAAGAAATGTGGGAATGGTGGACGCAGAAGCTGCTAGCAGATACGATGGCGGGCCCGATTCCGGCCTCCGCTGCATCAACACATCCCCGCCCATCGCCCAAGAGGAGATCGTCGCACCATCACGCCGCGGCTTCGTGATGTCTGCGCTGTGGGCGGACACGAGTACCAGCCCCTTTCAAGTGGCAGCGACGACGGGCCCGCCAGAAGATTGCAGATTCAACTCCAAGGACACGAAGCTACAGCCGCCACGAGATTCCTCAAAGCACTTGACAAAAAAAAGATTCAAAAACGCAGATGGAGAAGATTTCCAGCGCCTGCCGCCGCCAACAACGCTGACCCGCCGATATTCACTGCGTTGGACAGAAGCCCTTGGCAAGCACGAAAAGGCACATTCACTAAGAAACTCTACGGATATTTCCAGAAAACCTACCCGCACGACTACTGGCGACTCGACCGCTATAAAGGTTCAAATGCATGGGGAAGTCTACCCGTGGCCAAGGGTGGAAGTGGGCGGACAACCTGACGACCGACCACAATTATTCTGGAAACACGTGGCAGCTGGAGAACTGGCAGCCAATCCAGCCTTCCTCATGGACAACGCCGCGGTTTACAATTTCTTCGGTGGCCTCGCCAACCCCACCGAACACACCGACATTGCGTGGCGTCTTTAGCACGGGCGTCGCCCCATAGAAGATTACCCGCATTCACGAAGTAGTCTATAGTTGCCAACGGTGACTGACGCATCGTGGAACTACCGCGTTCTCCTTCACTATGACCCCGAGAAGCGCGACGTAAAGTTCACCGCCGCGTAAGAATGTTGCAGCGCAAGTTTACTCGATGGACCCTACAGGAAGTTCGCAGCTCAGGACAAGAACTACGCCAAGCCCCATTGCGTCCATGCGTTGCAAGACTACGACCTGTTCTGCATGAGACCATCGCGCGCGGCAGGATGAGCGGCAGCCCCCGTGCCGAGGCCGGGCAAACATGGCAAGATCGTCGAAACAATGGAAGCGGCCCTTGGAAGAGCACCGCGCGCGAAGATGACGACGCAGCGCGACGGTGACTATAACTTCGAAGCATCTAGCCTCATCGACTACAGCGCCCGCAACGTCTGCCTCCACGCGAACGACCCTTACGCCATAGAATAACGGGCACATCCGACCATGCCCGGTGCCATTTTGCACCTGGGAGCACAGCAACCAACCATCGCCATGGGCGACTTCAACTTCTCCGACAGCGGACCCCGGCGCAGCCCGCGAGGGCGGCGCCCGAGCGCGGCGCCCAGCGCAGCGCCATAATCCGGCCAAACCGT